GTTATATTAAGTATAAATATAATTTTTATAAGTTTTTAAGTATTTAATGTTTGAAATGACAATAATAATAATAGGTATTACTTTTACTATTATTATTATTATTATTATTATTATTATTATTGTTATTATTATTATTATTATTATTATTATTATTATTATTATTGTATTATTGGTTGTCAACCTTGTTGAACTACAAAATATTGAGCATGATGATAGATGTGTAATTTACGTGCTTGATTAATAAAATATAAATTATTTATTGAAACTTAAAATTCTGTGAGATTATTATTAATTTAATTTAATTTTAGAATGTAAAAAATATACACATTATTTATATTAAGATACTTGTGTACCAACAAGTCATAAAACTAAAAGAAGTCTGTACAATGATTAATATTTTGATAATTATAAAATTCATTTAAGTAGGTACCTTTCATGAACTTTGCACTTTTTATAATATCTTAAATTAATGTCTATAAAAATTGTCTACAGTACTTACTGACTATTAGTTTAATAATTAAAAAATGATTATTGGTTCTGACCTGTATACAAATTGTTTGTTTAGTTATACTTTTAATTTTATTTGATAGTCTTGTTATACTCAAATGTATTATCATAGTGGATCATATATCCCCCCTGTGATTAATATTTCTAATTCCTGATTTATTTCCATAGTAAACTGCAACTTAGTGTCGTCATCAATGTGATATTGTTATCTAAATTAAATCTTTTCTCAGAGTATAAAAAAATCTTCACTGATCTTGCATCTAAATTACAAATATTTGCAAATCACCAAAGTTCCAGTAAAAGAGTTATTACAAATGGTTATCAGAAACGAATTTCGTCATACACCTGAGACCGCGTGTATCAGTCGCTGTCTACGTCCAACAATTAGTTAGTTTAATTAAGCTTAATATATAATATGTCGGATAGAACATTTAATAATCAAAAAAATATACTCATGTTATGGTTATTAAATGTTAGTTCGTAAGTTTATTATTCTGCTTATATTTTCCAAACTGTTTAAAAACACTTTTGTATTCTCATAATTCGTTAATTGTGGTATAATTTTTTATTTCCATTACAAAGGTATACATAATTATTTTATTGTAACCAGGGCTTAAAGTTTTAAAAATTCTATCTATATATTTATATTGAAATCATTGATCTGTATACTATTTTGAGCATTCCGTACAATTATTAATTATTTGTATATATTTTTTTATAATATGTAATGTTTAATTACAGGCGATTTTTTTCACCAATAAGTTGAGCGTTCCTGTGAAATTTTTGGAGAAATATTTAAGAAAAAGCTTTTTTAGCGCTGTGTAAGATTCGGTTTCTAAGTCCCCTTAAGGCCTTACATTCCTATCTATTTTAAGCCCGATTATAACTATAATTATACGACGGTCAATATGCATCGCTTTTTGATTAGATATTGCTTATTTATTTATTGTAATTACGTGTAGGTAGTTAAGCGTACAGCACATTTAGGGCTGCCTGTGATATTCAAAACTGTTATGAAAAAATTAATAATAACAAATAATAACTTACACTATATGGCACTTTCTAATGCTAACAGTATTTTGCATTATTTTGTATTGCAGATGAATGGGATTCTTTTTACAAACCTGAAGATGACTCCAATGGAGGACTAAATCATAATAATGTTATTTCTAATGAGCTATGTCCGTTTTGTCCTGCAAAGCTGAAAAAAATCAATGCTGTTGAAGAACACATCCTTAAGTTCCATAGACCATTATTATTAGCGTGTGATATTAATAAATCAAATCGAATTTACAGCTAGTATTTATATTTGTCTATTCTATAATAAAAAATATGTTTGTGAATTTTTTTCATTGTTTTCGTCAACAATAAAAGAATTTTTATTAATAAAAACAAAATAATCCGCACATTTTAAAGTAGACTACCAAGTTTATATTATTCGCATAACGATGCCTTTTAACCCGAAAAAAATAAATTCTACGTACATATTATGGTGCGCGTAGGTACAGTGACAGCCGTGTATTATAATCCGTGAACAGGAACGTTTAAACGTTATCACGGATCTAATGCATTTCGCGATCCCATTCTGTTTGAATTGCATTCGATGGGCAATGACGTAACCATTATACTACTGAAAAGTATTGATATACTTTACGAGAACTACAAATGATAATCGTTATAATGCTTGCAATGCAATCTGCTTATGGCGGACACTCGCAGCACCATCGACAATTTTTTTTTTAAGGACAATATTTAGTATTTTCATAGTAAAATCCATGTATAGATAATATCTACTTACATATTATGTAACGTAAATGAAAAGTAGTGGTTAAAAAGAGTTTAATGAAATTTGTACTGCGCAACTAATAATAATTAAATGATTATCCGTTACTTGTGATCGTATTTATTTATATAAAATATGTAAGAGGGGGAGGCGTTGACTATCTTATACGAACAGCTACTCGCAAACGGCTGATCGATATTGGGGGTGAAGATCCTCGGTCGTTTCAGCGTTCCTATTTATCTGTCACTTCACCTATGCCGTGTCTCATGTATAGGCACGTACTCAAAGGAGGTTTTAGAGGTTCAAACCTCTCCTTTCGAAATTCAGTAAAATTATTAAATATGTTTTTGTAGAATGAAAGTGATATATAGTTTATAAAATTGTGAAAATGTACAGCCTAAAACCCTCAAAACATTTTTTTGTGTACGCGCCTGCTCATATATGTTGTCGTATTACAACAACAATAACAGCAGCAAAGACATACACGTTAACGTTTTAACTGTCTGATAATAATCCGTCCGTATGTTTCGTGTATGATTTCAGTCCGACTGCGGTTCAAGTGTCCGAACGGTTGCGACCGGTCGTACAAGTACAAACGAGGGCTGGTGCAACATTTGCAGTACGTCTGCGGCATGGCACCACAGTTCGAGTGTGAGTTCTGCGGCAAACTGTTCTACCGCCGCTTTCACAGGAAGAGGCACTACGAGTCACAACACAAAGTCTACTACATTCAATAATGTTGCACCATTTGGAAAACATGTACGTGTTCGGCCATCACGTTGTATCCCGTATAACGTTACAACTATAATGTGATTTTTTGTTTCACCCACGTAATATTATTCATATTTTGTTTCATTAAACATTTCGAAAAGTAATATTGTTATATTATGTATTGTATTTGATTATCTCACCCCCTCCTCACTATCAATTAGTTAATTTTATGTTATAGGTTAGGGACAAGATCTAGTATTTTCATAGTAAAGTTCATGTGTAGATAATATCTACATACATATTATGTAAATTAAATGAAAAGTAGTGGTAAAAAAAAAGTTTAATGCATATGTACCGAGCAACCAATTATAATTTATCTGTTGCTTGTGATCGTTTTTAATTATGAAAAATATTTATAGTGTATACGCTTGCAATTGTTAAATAGATAGTGCATAATAGTATTGCAAAGCTGTACTTTGGTCTATAACCATTAAAACGATATAGCTAATACGCGAAGTGCCTAAACATTTGTCGTGGTCGTGTGGCAACTCAGATCTTGTATATGGTTGGTAGGAGATAGCTATTGATGAATAGATAATATACGAACAACTACTCGAACGGCCGATGGATCTTTTTTTATTTTTTTTGGAGGGGAGGGGTTGTCGATCTCATTACCGTTCTTATTCGTCTGTCGCTTCACCACCAACGCGTTCCTCTTGCATATTGTTGTATTACCGTCATTGGTGCGATGACAACGTTAACAACAATAACAGCAGCAAAGACATACACGTTAACGCTTTAACTGTCTGATAATAATTCGTCCGTATGTTTCGTGAATGGTTTCAGACCGACAGCGGTTCGAGTGTCCGAACGATTGCGGCCGATCGTACAAGTACAAACGAGGGTTGTTGGAACACTTGCAGTACGTCTGCGGCGTAGCACCACAGTTCGAGTGCGAATTTTGCGGCAAACTGTTCTACCGCCGCTTTCACAGGAAGGTACACTACGAGGGCAAACACAAAGTCTACTACGTACAATAAAATAGCGCTGTTTGGAAAACATGTACGTGTTCGGCCGTCACGTTGTGTCACGTATTACGTTACAACTGTAATGTGGTTTTATGTTCCACCCACGTAATATTATTCGTGTTTTGTTTCATTAAACGCTTCGAAAAGTTGTACTGTTTTAATGTTATTATTGTATATATTTATTCGACCATCCCCATCCCTCAACCGATTAGTTCGTTGCGTACCGTCGGTTATATTCTTATTTTCCGTTCACGGTGCGTTCGTGTAAAATAACGGTGATGCCAATTAACACACGCCCCTCCCCCGCCGCCGCGTACGTTATAACGCGTGGCCTAAAACGTACGTGTACCCCAAAGTCACCCGTGGTATTTAAGTTTAAATAAATGTGTATTATTTGTATGTATGTATAGTATACATCGTATACGGTATACTGAGTAAATCGTACGCAGGTGCACGCTTGTATTTCTTCGGAGGGTATTTTTTTTTAAATATTATAAATATTTTTTTTTCTGACATTTTTCCTTTCTACACCGTAACGTTGCGCTTTTTTTTTACGAGTAGCGGAATAACTCGCGTGTCGCTCTTTCTTTTCGCTGTTTTGTCTTTTTACCGTTATTCCTTTGCGCTTTTACTTTAATTACTACGCACACTTTATTAAGTATGTTCTCTGGTTGTTTGTCTTGTCGTGTAACATTTTGATTATGACGAGAAGTAATGCTTTTTGTTTGAACTATATCATTGGCTTCTTAACGTGCGTTATTAATGCATCACGTATTTTCTACTGCCGTAGTTTTTTTTTTTTTTTTTGTCAAGTGTGTATTCACTATATTTCTTCATCGTATACCTATATAATATACGTATGTATGTATTACCTGCACACACACTATATATTATTAAGTTATTCAAGACGATGGTCAATTGTATTAATTTTTTTCTCTCTTTTCTGTTATCGTCCGCGTTCGTCCGTGCAGTTTTCGCAATGCCGCAACACCCGGACGAATACAATTGCACTTACAGCAGCACGTACGATCAAATAACAGTAGGAGCCGAATCGCGAATCGTATGTCCAAAACTTTGCGGCCGCAGCTACAAGCGGATGGAGCATCTAAAGCGACACATATCGTACGAGTGCGGCGTCGAACCCAAGTACAAGTGTCACGTGTGTCATCGTAAATTCGTGTACAACTTCAGTATGAAGAAGCACATGGGTCTGGTGCACAAAGATTTGACGGTCGTCAGACCGTGATGACGATTGCCGTCACGCGGCTGTCTGCGAACAAGTTTAGGCTAGGTCAAATTAGTTACCTAAAATGACCTAATCTAAACCGAGTAATAAGACATGTCTTTATCGCTCTTGGATCAGATGGATGAAAAACTTAAGGGTCTGTGTCCATAATCGTCACTTTTAAACCGCGAGTCCGAAAAAGGTGACGAGTTGCGATGTCGCGTATCTGACGATTTTAGAAACGTTCTGTGAACACGTAAACTACGTACAGAACGTTTCCAAAGTCTCCGGACCCTTCAAGCTTTCGCTACCCCTCGTGTAAAGGGGTTTACGACATTTTAATGTTTTTCTCCCCACGTACTTACGTTGTCTATGATTATGTAGTCGTAAGGAAACCTTACGCTCATCTACCATACTCGTATATGACGCATTCTAGGTACATGTACATCTACCTCAACATAATACGTAGATACCATAAAGCTCTTAATAGACTACATGATGTTCAGTGGCAAATTAAATTAATATTTTTATTTTTCTTTAAATTATCGTCTCGACACTTTTTTTTTTCATTCACATAATCTCAACTGATAGATATTAAACACTGATAATTTTTAACACCATAAAAAATGTAACATATTTATGTGTATAATACATGTAACATCGTCACCGTCTATTGATATCTTGTTATCAGCGAGATCGAAGTAACGAAACGACTGAAGAAACATGGAAACATCACATTGTTCCTTCTTTTAGTCGCTTCTCTATTTCAATCCACGATGAGTTTTTGTTTATTGATAAAGTCAAAACAGATTTCTACAAATATTTTATTAATTTCACGCTACTTATAATATAATAAAAATGTAAACATCTTGCCTTAGCTGTACTGAAAAAGAGATAATTTACTTGGTATTTCTTATATTATTATATGCCAATAAACGAACTCTTTTTATAAATATTTTATTTAAATGTCTATGTTATTAACTTATAACGATATTTTTTAAACCTCTATTCAAAATGGTAATACTATACATAACACGTTCATTAAATTGTAATCATTTTTTGAAAACGGGTCCTTGGACCTTATTATTTACCATTGTCTTATTTTTAGTTGTTTAACTTGAATAAATAATGACATTTATACATCGTTATTAATTATTATATTATATTCATGTAATTTTTTTTTTTTACAGGAACTACTTATATTTTATTTTATACTTAAATATTTTTATAGAACTAACTGTTGCATGTTAAATTTAATACATTTTATTGTTGACAACTAATGTGATAAATATAAACATTTTTGAATATATTCATCAAAATTACTAATAGAGCCTTTATAACTGGAAAAATATGCCCCCCCCCGCCTATACATTTTAATAACTTAAATTAACTAGATTATGACTGATGAAACGAATTTGTTATTTATATTTTACATTTTTATTTTTTTTTTTATTTTATGTTTTTCATTCATGTATTGTTACATTTTATGATTCTGCTGAATGTTTTATGTCAAACTTGTAGATGCTTAATTTACTAATAAAAAAAAATAATTTTTTTAACATATTCCTTTACACAATTTTTATTTGAACCATATTATAAGAAAAAAATGTTAAATTACATAATCAAATTTAATTAATAATGATAAAATTTATAATAATAAATTTTTCCTCTGTTTAGATTTACAATGTTCAGCAATAATGTATAATTGAGAGAGTAACAATTTGCCCGGAAAAGGAGACTACTCTGAAGAATTTTCAGAACAATGTCATGTTAAAATCAACTATATACTATATATATAGTTAAATAAACTATATACCTGTACTGTATTTTTACATTCCACTTACTTTTATATAAATATTAATAATTGTTATTGTTAAATTATTGTACCTACTTCTAATTTTATTTTCAATATTGATATTAAAATGCATTTCTCATTTTTACAAGTATTTAAAAATGTGAACGGTTAAAGTTGGAGTTTATTAATATTATCTTCATCACTGTACTCATATTGTTTTTATATTTTCCACAGAACATTTTTATTCTAAATTGAAATTACATTTCTTCTATTTAATGGTTATAGTTACCTAAGGAATTCTTAATATCACATCACCTGAAACCAAAACAAAAGGTATTAAATTTTCAAATTTCAAATTTGAATTTATAAGCCAAACAAATTGTTATAATAAAAACAAAATGAAAAATAATTAAATGTCCAGTTTAAAATTGTACATACTAAAAATGAGTGATTTTTTAAATTATTTTATTTTAACAAATCTAATGTAAAATGTTGTTATTTAAAATGTTAGTATCACGAATTTTTTTTTCCCATTGAATTTGACTTTTCTACCTGAATACAAATAATTATTTTGTTTAGATGGTTATAAAAATTGAGATATTATGTGTACAAAACATTTAGATTATTTACATAATTAAAAGTGTCTTAGTATTGACAATATACATAGATATTACATAGATATAGTACTATTATGGTTCATGGGGTTTCTATATGTTTTTTTATCACATTTTGGTGGGTATAAACAGTGCCGGGTTAAGAAATTTTCCGCCTGGGGGCAGATTTTAAAATACCGCCCTTCAGTACCCTTTGTATCTTTGTACTCATTCTAAAAAATAAAATATTTCACAACAACGTTAAAATTGTTAAATGAATATATATAAATTTTAAAAAAGTTACATAATGCACCAGTAGCTTTTTGGTTAATAAAACTTTATTAATAAAGGTTACAGTGCAGTTTTAGTACAAACATTTTATAAACATTTAAATACAAATTGTAAATTTAATATTAGAAATTTATATATTTTTTTTCTAGCTTTCTGTGCCGCAAACTCTTTTAAAAGATTATTCAAATTCATACTTTGTAGCACTCTATTAGTATTTTATACATTCATTTTAGAACACTTTAAATCTTATGTTTTCGCCATAAAAATTTGCCGCTCGGGGCAGCTGTCCCCTTTGCCCCCCCCCCTTAACCTGGCACTGGGTATGAATTATCCCATGTAGTAAGTATTGTAGTACTATATAGTAGTGGCAAACATAAATTGATATAATTTGCTTGGTTGTTGTGTGTATAAGTTATATTAAAAAAAAATGAAATTATAATTGCTGTGACATTTACTATAAAATAAAATGTACAACATTAATTTAAAAAAATGTATTATATCTTTGTTATTTTTTCATCTTATTAGGTGCTGATGAATCCATTACAGTACCACTGATGTACAGTTGTCCAAAAAACTGTGGTCGGCGATATACTAGAAAAGATTCAATGAATCGACATGTAACATATGAATGTGGTGTTGAGCCACAGTTCAAATGCACATTTTGCAACAAGTCTTGTGCCCAAAAGTATAATCTAAAAAAACACATGATCACTGTGCATAACTATATTCATCTTGAACACTCCTAATCATAATACTTTTTTTTAATTTTATAAATAATTATCTATGTCATGTTCTATAGAAATACTTGGTTTTATTAGTTATAATATTTATTTTTTATCGATGTATTTTATTAATATTGTTTCTTTTTTTGTTATTCTTTGAAAATATACATATATCAGTGAAGTTAACTGAGATTGTAAAAATAAAAATAAAAACATGCATTTGAATTAAAAAATATTATCCAATTATTATTTCAAAATATTATTGTTCAAATAACTTATAATAAGTTATAACAAGATTAGTATAATTGGCTGATATATTTTGCATTAAAAATTACTTTTCCTAAAATATCTTTTAATTGATTTTAATCAAAGTTAAAAAGGGTACAGTATTATATACACAGATTTATATGTATATTGTTACATGTTAATGCTTAAATTCTTATAGCTATATTAACAAAATATACTTGATTCAAGTATAATATTAATAACTAATTTTTTTTACATTTTACATTTTAGAATTAAGAACTCTTTTATCCAAACCAACGTTGGATAAGAATCCATCATTATCAAAAACTGTCAATGCTCTATTATCAGGATCAAAAGAAGATGAACCAAAAAAAAGTCCTGAACAAGAAACTAAAACAGAAAGCTTTTATCGGTGCAAAATTTGTAAAAATGTTATTTTAGGGCCTAATGCTGAAAATCTGTATGTAGAACATATTCAAACATGTCTTGAAGCAAACAACTTTGAATGTTCTATTTGTTTTAAAAAATTTGCCCATAAACGGGGACTTAATAATCATTTAAGAATTACACATTTAGTTTTTGACTAATTCATAAAATAAATAATTATTGTTTTATTATCATTACATGGATGGTAAAAATATTTATTTTATTTTGTATATTTTTCCTGTCTTAATGAATACAACATTTGCATGTTAATACTCTTTGACTTCATAGAACTTTGTTATTTTTTTTATTTAACTTTTATTTGTCAACCCAAAGTTTTAATTAATCATCAATGTTTTTCTATTACATAATTACTTATTTTTATATGTTAATTTATCAATAACTATTATTTCGACAAGGTTTTAAATTTAATTTTAAATATTTATTATATTGATAAATGTCATGTTTTGGAACACTGGTATATTTAATGTACATCGAAATTAATGATTTTATCTTCGTTATTTCTATTAAAAAGTCAAAATGATTTCTTAATATTTTCTGTGCTTTGATTTTTTTAACACCTCCAATCAACTAATGTATATAAATTATTATATATATAATAAATTATTACATATAGCTAAAGCATTATCGTTAAAAATTAAAAAAAAAAAACAGTTTGTTACTATATTTACTACTAGAATTATTATCATTATTGTTTTGTTTTTTTTATTCTAAATGTTTATTTATGATAAATTATATGTTTTAATTATTAATATGTAGTTAGATTATAATTACAAAGATAAATTATTCAGTAAGACAATATAAGATATATTCATAAATAATAGTTATTATTTTATTGACATAAAATATTTTTATCTAAAATATAATGTAATATAAATATTAAGAACATAAAAAGTTATTGAAAATTAATAAATACTCTTCATATAGTATATACCTATTTATGATATGTATAATGTATACTTATCAATTTATATGTTTTATGTTTTATTTATATTACACATTTTATACAAATATCATTATATGACACAGTACAAAAGTTGAGTTAGTATTACATGTGGCACTGATATCTGTGTTCATATCCTTCGTCATATTAGCTATGAGTGATTAATAGTCACTGGTTATATTTCTATACATACCTACTACCTAACACTTATTATTTTTGGTTGTCTATGGTTGAATAATGAAAAATTGTCATTGCGTTACTGAATATTATCCATCTTGAATACTTATTCAGAAATTATTTTTAGCTTTATAATTTATACATAATATACAATATTTAAATGTAAATTATTTAATAGTGTATTAAATACTATGAATTAATTTTCTATATACCTTGAAATAAACTAATTAAATATTTTACTATTATATAGATATAAAATTGTGGCTGGAAAATTTGGACCAAATTGCCAAAGAAAACCCTTGTTCTTGTCCACAAAAATGTGGTCGAAAATTTGGAGGAAAATACCGGAAAGGTAATCTTAAATTACATTTGACCAGAGAATGTGGAATATCTTTTTCATGCCCCATGTGCATGAAATTATTCAAATACAGACAAAGTATGAAATGTCATTTGGCAACAGTTCATCAAATGTTATAACATTATCTGTTTGTTATCATCAATAAAATCAGTTCAAACAACTTATACATGTTCATTTATAATTATTTATAATAACCATTAAAAGTATTACAATGTGTTAAAATGTTAATTATTTATAGCTTAT